CAAAAAATTTCATTACTAATCCATCACTAACTCCTATCACAAAATATTTTGTGACGGTATTAGTAACAAAAAATTTTTATCATTAATTTCCGTCACAATTTAATTTTTTTATCATTAATTTCCGTCGCAATTTCGTCACTAATCCATCACAAAAAATATAATATAAATATAAAATAATTATTTTTTAATACTTATTATTAAAATAAAAATATAATATGCCATAATTTTTAAATGATATATTATATAAAAATATAAATATAAATATAAATATCATAAAAGAAAATAAAAATAAAAATATATAATATACTTATTATTTCGTTATATACTTGAATAAAAATATAAATTATTTGAAATGTTTTACTAAAATACAAAACCTAAATTCAAATAAATAATAATATATTAAATTATATAATATATATTAAATTGTATATATAATATTTATTATATATATTTGTATTTTTATTAGAAATATTATATATATATTTATTTTTTCATAAAAATTTTGTAGGTGTTTCTCAACCTAACTAGCAAATACTTCAACATGCGTATAGGAGATTTCAAGCTCGAACCAGCGCTCTCTCACAAATTAAGCCAATTTGTGATATGGCAATGATGTGGACAAAGAAATGACGTGGTAGCTCATAACGATAGAAATGTGACAATGACATGGACGATGGGATTGCCTTTTCAACAAGTGGTCAATTCTAAAAATTACATAATCCATTTCTAAGTTAAAACTCATAGTGATAACATGATATTATAAATTTTGAGGATTGCCTTTTCAAAAACATAATCCCACAAGACTTGTTCAACTCCATTACGTCAACATGATTTCAAGTATATATTAAAATACCTTTCATAGTTTTGAAAGTAACAAAACTATTCACAAATAACGTATTAGCATATATAATGAATGGAAAATGATACACCTCTCACCTAAACAAAGATCAATTACCACTTGAGTTGCCCTATACACAATAATACCAAATACAAATAATCTACATAACCATACAATTATCACATATTAGTTAGCAACTAATTAAGTGGTCAACAATAACAATTGGGGACTTAAATCCCTAGCTTAACCAACATCTCATCTGAACTTCAACTTGACCATTCCAACACTCAACATACTATCACAATAAGTCAAACAACTCTTAGGAATTCTCAATTGCCTCCTCATAACACCAATAGATCAAAAGCCTCAAATTCTCAAGCTAGGATTCATCATAAAAAATACTCAAATCTGAAAATCAAATCAAATCAATATTCTAAATCAATTAAACATCAATTTTACCTCCTATTAACACAACCCAGTCATCAAAACTCATTCTAAATAATCACATTATCATTAACCATCATAAACGTCCCAAAAATCACAAACCCTAGCTCTAAAAATCTTCAAAACTCCAAATCTAAGGAAATTAAACCAATTAAACACTTAATCTAATCCATATAAGTCATTTAAACTGAAAATAATTGGTCAAAATCTTAACTCATTTTAATTATAGAAAAACACCAAGATTCAATTATCTCAAATCTGGAAAAAAAAATCCAAGATAAAGGGTAGAAATGAGGTTAGGAATAGTTACTTTGATATTTAGAAGCTCAAATATACTCTCTTAGCCAAAAACACTAAACACTAGCAATGTTGCATCGGTTCTACTCTCCAAACCTCCTAAAAATTGCATTTGAAATTGATTTATAAAACCAGATTTCCATTTGCTATAACGAACATTTAGCAAATGACACAGTGAACACTATGTGTTATTTGCTATAGTGAACATCTAGTAAACGACACAATGAACACTCTGTGTTGTTTGCTATGGCGAATATCTAACAAATGTCTAGCAAATGACATAGTCAACACATTGTGTTATTTGCTATAGCAAATGTCTAGTGAAAATATAGATAAAAAGGTTTGATTTCAAAAATTCATAATTAATCCAAGGATATCTAAAAATTACAAAGTAGGGTTTTTTAGAAAGCTTGAGATATCTATTTTCCAATGCAAAAGAAGAGCACTCAAAAGCAAGATTATTTAGCCCTTGAAAGCACCCAATTTCTAAGACTACTAAAAAAGGTTTAGAGGCATAACTACTAATCATCAATCTTAGTATTTCTAAGCCTCAACTTCCAATTTTAACTACTTAATACCTCAATTTTTTTGGTTTATTAAAGCTTAAATCTAGTCCTTGGATTAAAACTTAAGATGTTACAATAGCCATCAACACAAGCACCTCTAAACCCTGAACATCAAACCCACAAAAAAAAAATAAAGGAAATCTTTTTTTTTTTAATTGTATAACTTAGAGTATTCTGAAGTTACTTTGGGCTTGAAACTATTTATGTTGGGTTGGGAGTGTAAAGGTTACAGCCCTCTCAACAAGTACACTTTCTAAGATTTTTAACTTGTGTTTTCTTCTTATAGGGGTGAGGCTACTTACCATCTCAACTAATAACTTATTTATAATGAAGGAAATCTTCATTGAAAGTAAAACAGATATGGTACACCAATGAGGGTGAGGTCCTGTGGAAGAGGTTTATTCCTCATAACATGATAAACCAAGGTTTGAATCTTTGCTAAAATATGTGCTTAGATTTAACGGCTGATAGCGTTTCGAATAAGATTGTTTCTAGTAGAAAGATACATGTCTCTATTAAAAAAAAAAACCATATATGATATTGCTTTGTTTAGTTGAGAAACCCAAATAATTATTGGGTCTGTTTCTCAAGGCCCATATTCTATTTTGCATAGGCCCACTTTCATGTACACAAATCAAAGGCCCAAATGATTATTGGCTTTTATTTTATTTTATTACTTTTGGATGGAACTGATTGCACGTCATATTGTTAAATGTTAACTCAGCCTATTTTTTTCATAAGATTTGTTGATGTCATAATGAATGGAAAATTAGGGGGAATGGCCTAGAAAAAAAAATAAAATTTATTAAAAAAAGATCTTAAAAATTCTAATTATTTTAACGGACGAAAAACTAAAATGTAAATTTATAATTACTAAATTGCCCTGAATTAAACCTAAAAACCTGTCCCTCTTTTTGTCCTCTCCCTTGTCCCTAATCATTACTTTTTGCTTCCCATTCTTTATCATATTTCGTATTTCCACATGCACTGTTTTCAATTCTCTTCCACATGGCTTCGAGAACTACAAGCAATATGAATGGGATTTCCACCATCTCTGAGCTCAAGCAAGAGGAATTGCTTCTCAAATCAGAGGCCTTCAATATCAAAGTAAAACAGGCCGCAAGATCCTCCGCATCACATTCTTTCCTAGCGACCTCAATATCTTAAGTTGCGTTCAAGTTATTTTTGTATCCATATCATATCTTTTGAATTTGAATGATGATTTATTTTGCAATAAAAAGATGAGAATTTATCAAAGCTCATATGACAGGAGGCAAGGGTTCAAATTTGAGGAAATACATTTAGGAGGTGAAAATATTAAGCGGTCATGTGGGAGGGGGGTGATGACATGACGACACGTGACATGTGGTAAGTGGGGGTGTGCAGGTGACGTGGAAGGTAAGTGACATTATCAAGGGTTCGAATCTAAGCAAGTCCATTAATGATTTTGAATTTTAAAACATACTTTCTAAGCTTAAGTAAATTAGATTTCATGAATTCATATACAGTGCAAAATAACAATGCATGAAAAAAAAATCTAAAATAATTATAAAATATAATAGACATCAAATATATTTAAACTGATTCTCTGATTATCTGCCCCATATAAACCTCATCTAATCATTATCGCCAATATAATGTCAATGCTATCTTATACATATATATTGACCTGGATTTATGTATATATATGTGTGTATATATAAATTGAAAGAGTTTGTTATGATAATATTGTTACTGTAAATTTAATTTGTTAAGATCATATCCTGATTTTATATGGATCCTTGGTCAACGGGGGGTTACTTTAAAGAAAGAACAACATACACCTCTCTTCGCTACGATTCCTACGAAGAAGACAATGAACTATCAGTTGTGCTTGTGCCAAAAAAAGAAAATTCTAGATATCACTTATGCATATTAATAGATCATTTTATTACTATTCTAAACTTATTTTTAAAGTAATTGAAATCCATTTTTTCAAAATTTGATTAAAGAAGGGCATCTTAAAAGCACAGAAAAAACTTGGGTGCTCAGTCTTATGTACTAAATATATGTTTCCTTTAATTAAGTTTAAAAATGAATTTTAAAGTGTTGATTATAATACAGGATAAACAATATATTAAAAATTCACCTGCCTTAATTTGATTAAAAGCAAGTGCATTGAGTATATCAAAATGAGCACCAATCTTTTTATCGAGAGACAAAGTACCTAACTATTTTTTTTCCTGAAAATATAATATACTTAAGTTTGAATATTGCCGAATTTCATCCTACTCGCTCCATTCTAAATTATTTTTTTTTTGCTCTTTTTATTCTGTTTAAAAAACTTTTCATCTTTTAGAAATTCAAGGGCTATTGCCAATTGATTATAACTGCACCCTAATTCAATAATTAAAAAGATAATTATTTCTGAATTATCTCAACTTGTCACAACTGTAACATATTTCCCTTTAGCTCTTCTTTTCACTTGTTATTTTCTTCTTCTTTTTTTTAGCCGGCAACTTCTATTTACCACATATTAAGAGGAGATTAATATAGTAGTATAATGTAGTATTATGTTAGTTAAATATTTTTTAGTCATTTAATTTTATGAATAATAATCACTTACTTTAATTTGAAAAAAAAAGATTAAGTATTTGAATTTAATGAGCTGTATTTTGTTTCTTCCCTCCATAGCCGCGGAGACTAATCTCTAGGGTTAAAGGAAACCCTATCAACATCTTCTTATATTATTTAAGCTTCGGCCAGCACTGTGGTGCAGGTAATTATAATTCTTCCTGGAAGCTAGTACTTTCATATCTTATCCCTCTATTGCTGTTGAGATTTATTTTTCTCAATTCTTTTCTTTTGCCAAAGCTATGTCTGACTATTTGCCTCCAGAGGTTTGGGTTGACATTCTTAGAAGACTGCCCTTGAAGTCCATAGGAACATGCATGTCTGTTTGTAAATCCTGGAAATCCTTTATCGCAGATCCTTACTTCTTATCGCAACGTAGTACCCTCCAAGTCAATCAAACTAATGGATCTCTTTTAATTGGCCTATATCCCCTAATAATTGAAAATTACAGTGGGGAAATGAAACATTACTTCGTCCAAGACTGTTACTTAGTGCGTTCAGATAGTCATCAGGGAACGAAGTACCATTCATATCATCAGAAATTACTACTCTCTGATACATACTATGATCTAAGACTGATCGGCGTTTGCAATGGTTTGGTTTGTTTTGTTCAACCGCCTTATCATAAGAATACCAGTATGCTTATTTGGAACCCATCTCTTCGAAGATATATCGACTTTCCTACATCCGCACCCAGTATCGTAACTTACCCCGGGCCAAGGCCTTTGTCTCTTTTTGGGTTTGGTTATGATTCTAAGAACAATGACTTCAAGGTGGTTAGAGTTTTCTGTTTGTGGGTTAAGGAGGAAGCCATTCCTCAAGTTGAGGTTTATTCTCTTGCTTCTGCCTCTTGGAAAAAGGTCTCTTCTAAAGTGCCTCCATTTCTCGTTGTTGAGAAAACTTCCCAGACGATGTTTTTGAATGATGCAATACATTGGCTTGTGAGGATTCGGAAGGGTAATGATGTTTACTATACTATTCTATCATTTGATGTGGTTAAAGAGACACTTAGTGAGCTGATGTTAGGCCATTGTTTAAAGGAGACACTTGCTGACATAAATATTTTGCCAGGATTAGTGGATTTGCTTGCTATTTCTACATTTTACCTAGGAACGTCTCATCAAACATTTTTCAGTGTCTGGGTGATGAAAAAATACGGTGTTGTAGAATCATGGACTGAAATGTTTCGTTTTCCTTCATGTGATTATGGGAACATATCAACGGTGTTAGCACTTAAGAGCAACGACCAAATAATGCTAAGACGTGTTAAGGGAGACATTATTTTACTTGATTTGAAGAATAATTTAGTAGAGGATAATGGGACAATTAGGGCACCTGGAGGTGCTTTTGTTGAATGCTACGTGGAGAATTTGTTTTTGATGAACCATCAAACCTTACCAAGGCAAGGTGCAGATTCCAAGACGAAGAAGACAGAGAATCACGTGGAGTCATTACGAAAGTTGCATTCATGCTGGACAAAAACATATACTATTGGCCGAGCAATATGAAACCTTAGGAGTAAGTACTAATAATTTCTTGCTGATATGAGAATTTTCAGCAGAACCCTTTACTTTTCCGTATGCATTTAAGTTATAGATCTTGTGTATGACTCTTGCTGATATATAGCAGACTTACATTTAATATTTGGTGGGACTTCATTATCACCACTGATGAAGCGTTAAGTCATGATGAATTGTTTTTCTTTTAAGTATATGACTCTATGGGTTGCGTGTTTTTGGGATGAGATCAAAAGTATTCCTCAAGCAGAGGTTTATATACTCTCTTATGTTTCTGCTTCTTGGACAAGCATGTCAGTACGTAGTACATATCCTTATTGGTAAAACATCGTAGATGTTGTTTATGAGTGATGTAATATAATACTACCTTTGATCTTTAATATAAAAACTAGATAACTAATTTAGATATATTAAAGAACTTAGATAAGATAGTTATTGGTAACAAATTAGTGTTGTATATATTTTCTAAAATATCCTTGTTAATCATGTGTATTAGAATGAAAACTTTTAACATGTACAATGACCATAAATATTACTTTAAGAAAAAATAAATAAATAAAAGATACAAAGTAACTGGATTCTTATATTTAGAACTAAATTAAATTTTTATTTAGTTCTTATATTTAGTATCAAACGTACTACATTGAAGATGCCTGAGAGTAACAAGGTTTTGTGCCGTTCAACTGTTTTAGACTTTAATGTGTAAAGAGACATTTAGATGTGTTTAAACGACTTTTGGCCAAAAAAGAAAAAGATGTCTTTAAACGAGAAACCTTCCCAGGTTACTATTTTGTCAGGATTATTGTATTTCCTTGCTATCTATATGTTATAATATGAAACTTCTTTTAGATTGGTTTGGAGAGGGAAAAATGGGAGTTAAAGTACGAAGAAGAGAATATTACAAGGAAAAACTCTAAAAAAGAAAAAAGTAAAATTTACTCTTTTAGTGCTTAATGTAGGACTTATTTAACTAATTTGATTGAATTAAAAAAGTTAAGTAAGTTAGTTAATTATAAGAGATACGACATGTATTTTTTTAAAACACTATAATCATCTTTTTTAATATCTTCCATTCCCTCCTATTTGATTTTGGTTGAGAAAATATCAATAGAGTAATTTAAAAAAATTGATAAATATGAGAAATATGTTTTATATTTAGAATCAAGATCAGCTTAACAATTAGATTTTATGTTGAGGACAGCAAGAGTACTATTTTTAGAAGTTTTCCTCTAGTATTATTTTTTCTCTTCTTGACCAAACTCAAAGGCTTGTTTGGATTACCATTTGGAATGCCAAAAGCACACGGGAAAGCATGAAACTAAAGTTTGTGACTTATTGTAGCTCAGAAGATTGTTTGGATTGAGCTTTGTTTCTAACTGACTTATGAAAAAAAGTAACTTTTCTAACTGACTTATCCAACACAATCTGAATCAACTTTTCTAACTAACTTATGAAAAAATTGTGCAAAACTTATGATCTAATTAGTTATGTGATTCTATTTAATTTAATTAGAGACCAGATAAATTTTAATTTATATTCATATTTGTTCATTATGTATATTTAATTAATTATCTACAATAAATTTTCAAATTTTTCTCAGTAACAAATATTTTTATTTTATAATTTTACAAATAAACTATTTATATTTTATCATAATAATTTTACGTGTTTCTTTAAATTATTATCACATTAAAAATATAAAATTTCAAACACTACTCCATGTCATTTTCAATCATTTTACAACTAAACTAACTTTTCTATTAATCATCCAAACAACTTTTGACTTTTTCAACTGACTTTTTAAAAGCATCTATTCAAACATAAATTGCATTACACTAACTGACTTTTATTCTAACTTCAATTATAAAAGTCAGTTGGGTTAGAAGTCAATTTTACCCAACGCCAATCCAAACATAGTCAAAATGATACATAAAAACTATTGAGGCTCTTCATATGATCGACGAGTTGTGCAGCAAAGGAACCCAAACAAGAAAAAGTAAAAAAAAAAACAAACAAACACAACTGCTAGAACCAAACAAAAAAAAACCTAAAAAGGCCCAGATAGCGAGTAGTATTGAACAGGTGTTTGGGTAACTAAGAAAGTACTTTTAAAAAAAAATATTTTTTTTATAAACTGAGACTAACTTCTCCATATATTTATTTCATAAAGTTATTTTTAAAATTATGATTTGGTTTCTATCCAAACACCTTCTGAGAAAGTATGTTTGACTTATCTTTTTCTTCAATGCTATAATGTTCTTATTTGTAACCCATATCTAAAACCTATGATTTAAAACTTGAGGAACTAAAATCAAAATGAAAACAAATTTGAAAGATCAAAATTTGTATTAACCCCTCTTTTTTTATATATATATTTACTTTGAATAGCCTAAAATCACTTTTAAAAACCTAATCCAAATAGCCCACAATTTCTCTCTTATCCTTTAAGTTTTATAGTGGCCTAATATATTGATTTGTCATTAACAATTGTCTATTTTTCTCTCGCGCCTTCTCTGCTTTCTCGCACCCGGTTAACAATCACATGGTAAAGAGTATATTACGGCTTATTGAATCTCTGCATTAAACACCAATTTCATATTAAATCCCCTTTCTATTGAGCCAAACATATCACAAAGTATAAATTAAGTTTTAATACTCCTTCTACTTCGTAGTTGGTTAAATTTTCTCATAGACCAAAAAATAATAGTTAAGTCATTAAATATGTATTAAAATAATAAATTTTTTGTATTATAGATGAGAGGGAGTAGTAAGTTTATTATTTATACTTGCCCAACCCACTCCAAATTATCTTTCATTTTTATTTTTGATCTGTTATAAAACCCTTGCTATTTTACAAGTTCAAAGGATCTTGCCAATTGTTTATAACTGCATCCATCTAATAATTATATAGATAATTATTTCAGACTTATCTCCAATGGGATCTTTCCTATTAGCCCGTCTTTCTATTCCTTGTTATTTTCTTCTGTTAGTTTTATTCCAGACTATTTCTTATATAATGCAGTATAATACTTATATTCATTAAAGGTTTTTTAATCATTTAATTTTTATAAATAATAAAATTCACTTATCTTAATTAAAAATATATTGAGTAATTTAAATTTAAATACCTAAATTTTCTTTCTCTCCTTGGTAGACCAATTCTACTTCATGGGTTTTTTTTCATTTTTTTAATTTGATTTGAACGGGTTGAGGAAATGTTATCAACTTGGAAAACAAAACAAAAAGAAAAATTTATCAACAATATCTTTTCATTGCATAGCCTCCCGGACTTCGTATTGGGTGCTCATTGCCAAACAATGTGTTCTCACACGTATGGAAAAGCCACTCTAACCATCACTAATTTCATGTGGTGGCATATGGAATGAGAGTTTTAGTTTAACTATAATTTTAAAATGCACATAATATATATGATAAATTTTAAAAGATGATTGCAATGTTTAAATTTTTTTAATTATAAAGATATTTAAAATAAAAAATTTGAGTGAGTTAACAAAGAGAGAAAGTGAAATGGTGATATGGGGACTTTTTTTTTTAAAATAGCATCTAAAAGTCTGAAATATTAGTCTAGTAGCAGCTTCTAATATTCTAAAATAATTTTTATTGCACTTAACATTTAAAATATTTTTTTAATAGAAGTGTTAAACTAATTTTTTAGTGCAGGTTTACTCTTAATATTTTTTTATATCTTTTAGTGCAGTTTTATTTTTAATGTTTTTTTAGTAGTATCGAGTATTGTAAACTTAGGATGCTGAGTTTGTAACATCCTTATTTTTATATCTAGAATTCAATTAAATTTATAAATAAATTATTGTAGTATCAAGTTAATGGAAATTTAAATATAGGCAAATTATTTTTGTATTAATCATGATATTGCGTGTGTGTGTGATATTACAAAAATAGAAAAGTATAGCATGGTATAGAAGTCCCACATCAATTAATTACTAGAGTAAAAGAGCTTGAGGAGACTATATATAGGAGCTGGTGGATAGAATTTGGATTAAGTAAACAATTTTCGCACATATCTGAGATAGTCTCAAAAAATTCACTTATCTTAATTAAAAATATAGAGTAATCTAAATTTAGGTGCCTAAATTTTCTTTCTCTCCTTGGTAGACCAATTCTACTTCATGGGTTTTTTTTCTTTCATTTTTTTAGTTTGATTTGAAAGGGTTGAGGAAATGTTATCAGCTTGGAAAACAAAACAAAAGAAAAATTTATCAACAATTTCTTTTCATTGCCTAGCGTCCCGGACTTCGTATTGGGTGCTCATTGCCAAACAATGCCTTCTCACACGTATAGAAAAGCCACTCTAGCTATTACTAATTTCATGTGGTGGCATATGGAATGAGAGTTTTAGTTTAAATATAATTTTAAAATGCATATAATATATATGATAAATTTTAAAAGATAATTGCAATGTTTAAATTTTTTTAATTACAAAGATATTTAAGATAAAAAATTTGAGTGGGTTAACAAAGAGAGAAAGTGAAATGGTGATATGGGGACATTTTTTTTAAAAGAACACCCAAAAGTCTGAAATATTAGTCTAGTAGCAGCTTCTAATATTCTAAAATAATTTTTATTGCACTTAACATTATAAAATATTTTTTAATAGAACTGCTAAACTAATTTTTTAGTGCATGTTTACTCTTAATATTTTTTTTATATCCTTTAGTGCAGTTTTATTTTTAATATTTTTTTAGTATTAACGAGTATTTTAAACTTAGGATGCTGAGTTTGTAACATCCTTATTTTTATATTTAGTATTTAATTAAATTTATAAATAAATTATTGTAGTATCAAGTTAATGGAAATTTAAATATAGGCAAATTATTTTTGTATTAATCATGATATTGCGTGTGTGTGTGATATTATAGAAACTAGGATCTTCTCCCCGTGCGTTGCACGGGTGGTTGCTACACACGTAATTTTTTGCGGGTTTCATATTGTTGTTCCTGTTTTACCTGTAAGTTTATAGAAGGCGAGGATTGTTATCTGGTGAAGTTCATAAATGTAAGTTTATCCCAGAGTTATAGATTTGTAAATGTAATGTAATGTAATAGTGGTAGCTGTCATTCTTATAACACGAAGTTGAAAGGCGGTTCGCGAAATGGATGATTTGGTCACTCCGAACGAACATTGTGAAAGACTTCCCAATATACCACACTGTGAGGAACATTAGTGGAAGACCTCCTGATAGGATATTAAGGCCGTGTAACTATTTTTTTATGGATGCTCTTTGCTAAGCACACATTATTCTATTTGATTAATTGAAGACTAATAGAGGTAGTGAAGTGTGAAGTAGTGTGTGTGAGCTGCTCAAATGTAAATAATTCTCATTTTATTAAAATGCGTCACATGACATAGCTGTGTAATTTTAACGAAGTAAGTCCTCATACTAATAGTGTGAAGACGACAGTCGGCCCATGGCGGCAAGAATAAGGTCATTCCGAATTCATATTCTGGAAGACTTCCCTGTAGACCACATTCCGAGTAACATTCGTGGGTTTACTGTCAGAATCGAGGATCAATATTTTGAGACCGTCCATATTCTTGACCCTTGACAATGCGACATACAGCTGTCCATGTGTAAACACCGGCCTGGGCAGGTACAAACCGACGTTCGTTAATGACTGTCCTTGGCTCTTGTTGATGGTCATCGCAAAAGAGATTATGAACGGGAACTATCGTCTCGTCATTTTGAACGGGAGGGTGGTCTCTGAAGGATTCATGTCCATGCGGTGGATGAGTACCTGGTCACCTGTGCTCGTTCCGTTTAACGCTACCGCCCTGATGAAGTTCTTGCCCAGATACGTGATACGAAGCCTCGTTCCGTTGCACAGGCCTGCAGACTGGTCGATGTTTCGCAACAACATGACCGGTATTCCAACCTTCAAAGAGAGCTTATGGGGTGGCATCCAGAGCAATTTATTGTGTTCAGGAATTCCGGGGAGTATAGATCCTGGAATGAGCTGCTATCCTGATCGGTGCTAGAGATGGAGTCAGAGCTGAGATAATGAACGGAGTCTCCAGGGAGGAGCGACAGCATGTAATCATTTATCTTGTCGACGACATCGGTTGTGGGGGCTAAAATCGCCCTTTCTGTGAGGTAGTTTGGATGTGTGATGTTCTGTTGGAGTGCAGGATATGTAGATGAGACTATGGAGTTGATAGGGTCAAGGGAGTCGGTGATGAGGAAATCGGCCGGGATCTCAATGTCTGTCATGCCCTCATGGGGCAGTCCAATTGTACCATCACCGACATCAAGCAACCATCTGGAGAATCCACTGACCTTTTTCTGGTCTACTGCCTCAGATGCTAACTGCAGGCGCATGTTTTTAGTGAGCCTGAACAGCTTGCACGCCGGCCAAAGAGCGGACGAGTTTATAGCTGCGTTTATAATGTCTGTACGGAATCCCTTCGGCATGACAGGTAAGATCTGCCTGAAATCGCCCCCCATGACGATGCACTTGCCACCGAATGGGAGGTCGCACCTCATTATATCCTTCAATGATCGATCTACAGCCTCCACACAATGCCGTTTTATCATTGGCGCCTCGTCCCAGATGATTAATTTTGCGGACCGCAGTAAATGAGACACAGGAGAACCGTGGCTAATATTACATGTGGAGTCCTCATTTATGTCGATAGGGATCGCGAATCTCGAATGAGCAGTCCTTCCTGAGGGCAATAGAGTCGCTGCTATTCCGCTCGATGCGACGTTGATGACCACACCGCCATTTGCTCGTACAGCCACGGTCAGGGCGTTCCATAGGAAAGTCTTGCCAGTGCCCCCGTAACCATAGATGAAGTAGAACCCGCCGGTGTTCCTACTGACCGCATCAAGGACTTCGTGGAATATCTTTCTTTGCTCATCTGTTAGTGATGCTGCTAACCTTACGGCGTCTGCTGCACAAGCATCTCTATCGTAGCTGAGTTCCTGGAGTAGCAAGTTGTTTGTTGTGTCCAAGAATTCAGTGGAGCTTGGTTTTGGCAGCGATGGGTAGTCGTCCAGTGACCTACCATTCTTAAGGAGCAGCCTCTGAATCTCAATAAGTCCAGCCTCCTCCCTATCTGAGTCGGTGATTGATATTTCTGCAGGTCAAGAAAAGTAAGAGATGTCATGGCCAGGCACGTCTAACAACAACAGATGTCGCTGATCAGGGTGACCACTTGGCGTCTCTACAGGGCGGGTATTGTACATTTAGAATGTTGTGAGAGTGGAACACAGTTCAGGTGGTGTCTGTTTTACCTTGATGTCGTGGGTCGTGGCGCGGTATGTACAAAAGGTCTTCACATATGAGATGCTTTGTTTGCTCCCAGACTGAAGTGGGGTCAGATAAGCAGTGGCATAAGAGCATGCTAACGAAGAATCTCCTAAGGTACTGACCTGTAGCCCAGAATGCTGCCTCTTTTACTGCGTTGATGTACTCTTGATCATCGTGAAGCAACCCTAGCGCATAGCATGCCGCCCTGAATGTTGGCTGGACGACGTTGTCTACTGTCCTAATGTCTTTGTAGCTAAAGGGCCCTCTCGTCTTAGTCAGCAGGACCCGGAGGTAGTAAGCCTCACCCTGCGATGGCGATACGTGAGCCAATCTCCCGACAGAGAAGCCTCTCTGGCGTAGCCTCCACTCCCTCTTCTGCTTATTAAAAGTGTAATGCTATGGGAACTCAGAATATGTTAAGGTCCTTGCGAATGAGTCTTCTTTATTCTTGGCGAGCCATGCGAGGAACATTGACTCCTTCACCCGTGGCCTGTCAATCAGTGAAGGCATTTCGTCGTTGGCCGTGTAAAAAACAGCCTGTTGATCTGGTAGATGGAAGCTCAATCTCTCGACAGAAGGGTACCTGTGGTGGATGTTGAATGAGAATATTCGCCATGTGCCCTCACAGGCTGAGATGTATCTGCAGTTAAGGTAATGTGAGATCTCATCGAAATCGGGTCGTGAGGTTCCGGGCTCATCATTGTGGTAGATACCTGCTATAACACGGTCGTGGCCCTTGCTGATGTATTTGAACAAATACTTGATAGCCCTCGATTGGTTTGTCTTCTCGACATTTAAGTGGCCCTGGAACAGCCGTAATAGTTGAGCATTGTACGGCACGACATATCTGTTGTCCAACTGAATTCCTCTCTTCACAGTTGTTCTGCCATTGTTCCTCCTACGGTATGTGGGGTACCCATCGTCATCTATTGTTGTGTGTGGCGCATATCTTCTTGGGAAGTACTTTGAGCACTTTCCATCTTTCATGCAAGGTGATTTCTGATTGGAGCAGCCACAGGGCCCGTGCATCATGAAATTGGTGACAAGCTCAAATAGCACCGGGTCTGCATCCTTGTCAGGTATCTCTGCTGAGATGATTCTGTCGACATCCTCAGCTGTCTTGGGTTTGTCACACGGCTCTATGAACAAAATAATGTGTGCGTGCGGCAGCCCCCGCTTCTGGAACTCAATTGTATATATCTCTGAAAACCCACATATCAGTACACGATAGTGGTGTCTTTTGAAGTTACAGAAGTAAATGTGATAATGTAGCTATAGGGTCTGTATTAATGAGAGGGTTTGGATACTGGGCTGGATGATTTTTGGAAATAAATTGTCTGAGTCCCCTATACTTTGTGGAGAGGTGATTAAAGGGAGGTTGTATTGTTACCTGCTTTGATTGTGCCGAATATTTTTTGCTCCTTAATGCATTTCATCAGTGCTGCAAGTTTGAGGTTGAACATCCTCGTCAAGATGTCGGGTCGATCAGATGGGCTGAGGTTGTATTTCTTGCAGAATCTTGTTATCTCAGGCCATGCCGGATTGCAAGTAAAGGTCAAGAAGATGTCGGGGTATCCTGCCCATCTGCATATGGCCATTGCATCCCGGTAGTTATGGATCATGTATCTAGCACCTCCGGTAAAAGAAGAAGGTAGGATTATCCTCTTTCCTGTGTTGGACGCATCTGTCTCACCCCTTGTTATTGCGTCAGCAAGTCCTTTGTATAGGTCAACCCTGAGCTCTCTCTGGTGTCTCCTTATGTAGTCGAGCCTCTCACTCTCAACCATTGTGAAGCCGTCTACGATGAATTGCTGTAATAACCTCTTTGAGTGCAGTAACACAGACTCCTCTATATTTCTGTCCATCAGTCTGAAAGCTAGGTACTCTCTTATTGTGAGGTACTTTTTCTTCCTAGTGCTAATAAGAGATGCATCGTTATGTTTCGTCTTCGGTATGAATCCGTTATTGCCATAGTGGAAGATGAGGGGATATTGAAGAGGCAAGTATGACCTGTGTAATTCATGGACGCGCTTCAAGGAGCCTGCTTTCTTTTCTATGATTATGTCTCTGTTGGAATATGACTCATCAAAATCTTCGACTATCAACGCGGCTACCTCCGACGCCGTTGGTAGCTCGTAATTTCTGCTTCTATTGGTTGATTCTCTGAGGAGGCGTATCCTGACTTCGGCAGTGTTGTCTTGGCGAAGGATTTCCGATGCCATACGGTATTTCTTGACCAGGGCATTATGCTGGTCGAGGCAATCTTTAATGTCCATAGCAATGGCTTCGTCAACACCTGATTTGTCTGGATGGTGCCTGCAATTCAGAGGTAAGGTTTAACATGAAGTGTGTTGTAAAGAGAACATGATGCTGGAGGATATAAGTAGCATAAGGTGGATGCACCTGATCGCCGCCATCCGGTTTCTTATTTCATTGTCCGTGTCATAAATATAGAGCTGTGAGTACACAGGAGGGCATCCTTCAGGTGGCAATAAGCTTCCCAAGAGATGATAGTTTTGGCCGGACATGATAAAGGAGTAGGGGCCACCTCCGCGAGAGTTGAGGGAATGGTCAATCTTTCCTCCCATGGAAGTGAAGCAAAACATATTGTTGTATGCTCTTATGTTGGCCAAGAAGTTTTTAGATTTTGGATGTTCTTTCTGGAAGAAAAGCTGCCGGAATTGTTCTGGTGGGGTTTGAAGGTAAGGCACAACAACCTTGCCGTGACAACAGCAGGTTGAGAAAAGCGGGTATTCAGAAGAAGAGCAACGCTTGAGGCGCTCGCCAATCCAGAGTAAGGCACCACAAAATTGACACTCGTAGACGGGGTCACCATCGTCTAAGTAGCCTGTAGCCGACACATGAGGCTGGGTGTATTCATTGGTGGCAGACATTTGTGTGTCGTCATGGGCGACTTCTATGCTAGTGGCGACAAACTCTTCGGATCAGAATTTGCAAAAAAATGTACACAGCAAAAATTAATCTTAGAAAGGAAGCAGAAATAAAAATATAGCAATCTGAATTGAGTGGACAAAAATTTGGCAAATCACACGAAGTTGTCAATATTTTGTAAAAAAATTTGTTAAAAAGTTTAGAGTGAATGAAGATATGAAGAATATAAAACCCAAAAAAAAATTGCTTCATTTTGAAAGAAGCCGCGTCCTTGATTCGTCTAAAATGGTGCCACGGCTTTCATTTGTTATTTTTTAATTGAGTATTTTTGTTAAAAAAATTACCTTGTTTGTTTAACTTATCTTTTACTAATTCTTCCTCTCAAATAGATATTAGTCTATAAGACTGTGTGCTCTTTTTTTCATGTGATTGTTATTGGTGCTTGAAACATAAGGTATGAAGTATGAAGGCCTTGCTTCTCCATTCACAAAAACAGACAAGAGATAGTCGTGGCTCGCCTCTCTTTTTTATTTTAACAGAGCAGAGCAAAGGAATGGCAGGTCGTGTTCCAAATATAATAAACGGACACACGCATGCTATGCGCACAAATTAAAGTGATTTAATTGGGAATTGTATATGGCATTTTCATTAAAGTACGCATCATTCCTATTTATTTTTTCATTTATCTGCTAATGACACGGTAAATTTATTTGAGAAGAGCGAAGTACCTGTTATGATATGCTGATCGAGGATGGGATTAATGCTAGCATCTTCATTGGTTGTGTGCTCAAACCGGCTTTTCTTTGATTTGTGCAAAGTTGACTCTTGTATATAATGATTTGTATGATCTGTTGTTGAATTGTTTATTTCAGTCATTAGCACAAGATATGTTTATAGAAATAGCACAAAGAAAAAGTAACTAATATTTTCCATTATAATATTTTTGTCGTTTATGTGTATATAGACATTCATTGTCCATATACACACACATATATATTTAAGGAAAATAAGATTTTACGTATATGGTTTGTATCGCGTCATCTCCATGAACTACCATTCCATTGTTAAATAGAGTCATCAGTCGTTTGATTGATGCACCTAATTTTGCCTTAGCAATAGGACAGAGAGAAAACAACTAACATACAACATGATAAGTAAAGGGAAACTTGCCTTGTTCAGAGCTTTGAAGGTTGATGCTGGATGCGGTGTTGTCCATGCCGGTAGTGGATTGTGTGGTGAGTAAAAAGTAAATTTGATGCGAAGAGAGGGTAATTGTGTGGGCATAAGATGGTAAAGCTCATGACAATATGTTAATCGCATTGCATTCCTCAATAGTGGTATTTGCCTCTCAATTATTGATGGTTAATTGGCTCATTCAATACCTTTTGTGATTCACTTTGTGCAGTAACGAACAGACTAAGCTGGCTGTTACATTGTAACGGATGAGGTGGTTTAATATTTACTGTTGATTGGGTCAGTTATGCTTGGATGATGGCATCCCTGTATTAGCGCTATCCGATCATTCTCTCTACCTTCTTTGATATTTGGTATACATTTATTATTCCTAAGTACAGGTGTAATTAAATAGTTGCATTTTTCGAAACGAAACCTGTTCCAAAGGTGATGCTATGACACAAGCTTTGTTAATAATTGATGTAGGTAACCGTCACGAATTTTGGGTTGCCGATCTTTGTTAACTTGAGCAATAATCACTAAATCGTTTCATATGAGGATAAATTGGAATACCGAGTACAGTTATTTGGATTAATATAGGACCAAGTATGTCAAGCACGAAGATGAACTTACTTCATCCCAAGATCTCCCTTGTGCAAGGCGTGGATATATAGGCGCATTAGGATTGGCAAATAATATGTAATTGGAAACTGACACAAGTCTAAGCTGCAACGTCCATCATATTATGATTTTTGCGACTGAAAATGATCTGTGACATTTCTTCATGATATTATAATTTTCGAACTAAGACTTATCTCATTTACGAATGCATTAATCATCAGTGTGGAAATGTAACTCATCAATGTTTTTACAATCCAAATTGAAATAGTAATAAATTTCAAAGTAATTAATTGATAATTGATTGTGAAGTAGGTGAATGCATAGATGAATTTTATAGAAATATCCTGTAGAAAATATAAACAAAGTAAAAAACTGATAAATAATTTGATAGCAAAGAATATTGCAAAAATTTAATGAGCATGTGGAATAGCATATTAAAATATATGTCCAATAGTTAAAAATGTTGTGACTGTTGTTCTTCATGTGAGTTATATGTAAATCATAAGACTTTGCACCTTTATTATTCGAATTCCTTAATTCATTTGATTTTAATGCATTCATTCGAATTTGATTTATTACACTGAAATGGTGCCTTGTAATTAAATCGTACCCTGTAACTAATGTTTGTAATAGAATGTCTTTAACAACACAAATGTTTGCTTGCAGCTAATAATGTGAGTACTGAGAGAGCTGAGAAATCACTCTTTATCTTTCTTTTCAATTAAGAAAAAGAGGGAGGAAATTAAGGAAGATGCTTAGATTATTTGGGGGGGGAATGTGACAACCGCTCTTTCAAAACCATTTTAGATTAAATCCAACAATTTATTTGAATGATTAACCATGATAGAAAAGAAGAAACCTTAAAATTTTAAAATCGCTATCATGGTTAAAAGAAATAAACTTATATTACGAGCCACATCAATCGTTCACTTGGGCCTTGGACTTCTAAAGTCCAGAAATATCATTCAACCATTAGCCCAAACCAAACTTAAACTTTTAAACACACGAACTGATAAAACATTTTAATATAAGTCATAGAGCCCATTAGTGAAAAATCAACACTATCAAATCAGTGTAAAATGTCTCGGACCTCCTCACGGCCCTATCATACCAGATAGTAGTAATTAAGAGTATTATTTTACATCATGATAGTAGATGAGCCCTATGTGGCAATATATAACAAGTCAGCACATAGAACAAAAGCAGGGAGGCTATACAAGCTAATCAGCACACTATGCCTCCGGAGCCTTCCCTGATGGGCCACCACCTGAACTATCGCCTGAAAATGTTAAACCACGGGGTGAGACAAATGCCTCAGTAACCAACTTTCCAACTCATCATACATACTAACACGTGCTCGTGAGGTGTCAAGTGGGACAGTTATTAATTCTCGAGAAACATAGATATATCCATAGAAATATAATTTCAATCATCCAAACCCTCACTATGGGGGCCAACACACAAGCCACATAAGTCTATCCCTCACTCTGGGGGATCAATCAAACATATGGGCCTATCCCTCACTTCGGGGGACGAATAAGAAGCCACAAAGGCCTATCCCTCACTATGGGGGACGAAAGAAGAAGCCAACCAATGTGCACCAATGGTGGCCTTACCACGTGGTAGGATAGGACTCAATCCCAAAATCCAAATAACAACCAATCATTCACAATATAATAAAAATGTCTCAATCTTTTCTCAGTATAATCAATAAGATATCATATATCTTTTCCAAACTTCTCAATCACATTCCAAAAATCCCACAAGACAATTTTCATAGCTCAAAAGATATAACATATCTACTCAAGTTCCAAATATCAAATATTATTCTAAAATAGCAAAATACTCACAAACAACATATTAGCACATATAACAAGTGGAAAGTGGTTACCTCTCGCCAAAGCAATACTAAGGATTACCACAAGGTCAATCCTTTGCTCAACCAATAATTAATCTACACAATTAATATAACCACATATTAATATAAACTAATTAATTAATTAATTAAACTTCTCTATATTATTTAAATTTTTACTCTAAATTCTCGCAACTCTCATAACCCAAAAATTATTAAGTATTTTAGCAACAATTTAAAATTTCTAACAACCCCAAATTATTTATTTACCACCTCCAAATTATTTACCTTAATAAAAAGGATTTTCAACAATTTCTAAATATAAAATTATTATTTTATAAACTCTAAAAATCCTCATTTAAGTTTAAACCTCAAAATCAAACTATCAAAAATTCAATAATATTTCAAATATTTATAAATAAATAATCTAATCAAAACTTTAATGGTATAACTACCATATATATATTTTCATAAATAATAAACTTTTTAGCTACAATAATTATTTTAAAACCTCCAGTCACCCAATAAATAAAAATAAACCGATTAAAATCTTAATAATATGTTAAACACCTCAATTAAATTATTCAACTTAATTTTAACCGGTAAAATATGATATAAATCATATATCACATATTTTTCAACTAGAAAAATCCATTTAAGCACTAAAACCAACAAATGGACCAATCCAAACCGATTAAAATCTCAATAATATATCAAACAACCCAAATAAATTATTTAACTTAAATTTAATCGGTAAAAAATATGGCATATCTCATACATAACAGATTTTCCACTAAATAAATTAATTTTAAATACTAAAACTAGCAAATAGAGAAATCTAAACCGATTAAAATTAACAACTTATTTATTTCTAAATTTCTATAGTCATCTTTTGTCAAAACTCAATACTTATATCATATATAAGTCTCAAAATTTTCTCTAATCACTAGGGTAATACTACTATTATGAAGCATAAAATATATATGAAATATTTATGAAGAAAGTTTGATGAAAAGAGATAATTTCATGTACCTAAAATATCTTCAAAGCTTGCCCTCTGCTTCACCGGTATGATTCTCTCGCTCACACACTTCGGCCCTCTCTTTCTCTCTTTTCTTCTTCTCTCTCTCTCTCTTGCGCCTGCCGTGGGGGAAAGAATGAATTGTTGGGGGTGTATTTAACACCCCCTGCTCATTTATTGGGGGAGGGGTTTTTCAACCCAACCCCCAACTTTCCACCGCCCCCTTCCCCAACTTTCCACCAATTTCGGTGGAAAGTTGACTTTCTTTTTTTTTTTTAAATAATATTATTATTATATTATATTATCTTATATTATATTATATTATCTTATAT